AACGCTGGAGAAACGCTGGCGTACGCTAGCGTTACGCTGGTGACGCTGGGAACGCTAGATCGATATGCATCCTCTCCCCGGCACTGCCGCTGGCGTACGCTGGAAGCGCTACGCTACGCTGCCGCAAAGTATAAACGCAGCCTTATGGGGCCTCTGGGTTCAATACAAGGGCTCAGCCGACTAGACCGTCCCAGCACGGGATCCTTTGGACCTTCACCTGTACAACTGTTTGAGGTTGGAGGGGCCCTATTAAAGACACTGCAGACTCTCCCTTCGGTTATCTCTTCATACAGAAGTCACTTGATAAGTTCTCTTCAGCACCATTATCTACGCTCCCCATCGCAGACCGTGGCTTTAATAGATTGGATTTCGCCAGCATTATTGGTGGACGGGAGCAATGTGTGACCAAACGTCCTCTCGCAGCTCTTCCACCAGTGACGTTAGCAGAAACCTTCCGCCTCCATCAGTCGCCTCAAGCGACTGCCTTCAAGCGCCTATCGCTTTTTCTTAATCCCCATCTCGTTTTCGGCAGGAAACTATTGCTGAGTATCCATGAACATGTGAACGGCAGTAACAAAACACTCAGGGTCCCTCCATTTGATAAAAACATCTTGAGAGGACAGACAGTATGTAGCGTATCCTAGCCCTGCAGCGCAACTTGAGGCTGATTGACGAGGACGGGACGACACCCCTTCCTCCTCGAATCTGTCAAATGACTTTCGGAAGGAGACAGGGCAAAAACGCAAGTGCAAGCTCACAGCTCGACTTCCGCAATTTCGTATCCGATTTCATTCACACCATCGCCCTTACCCTCTTCACGTATCGTCTTCCTTCAAACAATGGCCGTGAGGAAGAGCAGTGGCACTTTAGCACAGAAAAAACTACTTGAAGAATGCTTTCAAAATGCTTAGTTACAAGCGTTCAGGACCAAATTGTAGGACGGAACGGGCTTCTCGGGTGGCTGCTGAGCTGTGTAGAGGTCAAAGACGCATTTCGCGATAGCAGGTCGCTGAAATTGCGGTTCAAGAACGAAAATGGGCTACTTTGAACTGTTTCTACCTAGCTCTGGGCCGGTTCTATACCGATTTATCTCTACCGGACAAGAATGTTTGGATTAGAATTTGTTTCCAGGGGTAGTTTGACCTCCTGCACACAAATATCAGATCCGCTTGGCCCAGAACTGCCTGGCTGGGGAATATAGGAAAGGGGCTACACGTGATAAAGCAGCTTGCAGCTCTCGTCTGCGCGCTTCCCCCGAGATTGTGACCACTTCCTATGCTATGGCTGAGCCTATCCTGGAAGGTGCCACTTTTTTTACCAAGCTCTGCTTAGCGGGAGGATAAATGGCACTTGCACCAAAAGGGAATGTCATATCCTTAATCAGGGTTTAGGAACGCCGGCATATAAGTTTACATTGAACTTGGAGAGAAAGGTAATGGCGTCAAATTTGCGCCCAATGGCGCCAGACAGCGTCGGTCCTGAAAAGTGATGTCATCATACTCGTGTTCACGGTTTCCGAATAGCCTTTAGGTCACGTATTCAGCGAAAACAATTTCTTTTGAGTTTCTGGGGGGGGGGTGTTCAACATTGCCCAGAAGTAAGTGGTAATTACTGCTTGAAAAGGGGTAAAAGAAATCGTCAAAACACCGAGAACAAGGTCTGCTTTTCTGTAGTTGACTTCAAGCATCAGATAAGCATGCGAAGAAGCGAGAAGTTAAGAGGCATGAGGGCGAGTGCAGAGGCCAGACAACTGGGAGACGTGGGGTGAGGGAAGAGCCTGTCCGAGTGGTGAGCGATGTAAATGATTTTCCTTACTGTACGACGGAAGCTGATGGTGCGTTAACGGCAAGTCAAATTAGAAGAATGCTCTGTTTTTGGTCAAAGCCGAATGAACAAACTGAGAGACGCGAGTCACATTTTACAAAAGAAGTACTGTAGTCGGCCCTTATTGAACCTAATTCACTTTTTCAAGCAGCTAGCACAAGTATGGTATACCTGTCATGAACTAACCCCTGAACAAGGTTCTACCTCCAAAGTTTCCCTCAAAAATCCCACTAGGGTGTAGTGCAAATAACCTGCCATAGTGACACAGACCTAAAGCGCTTGTTGTTAGAGATATTATCGCTTGTTATTCAGCGTCGAAGGTGCTACTAACCAGTTATGGAAGGTAAGAAGGGCTTGGTAAGCACAAGAACCATGTGCCGAGGTGCTATAAGCCCTTTGATAGGATGATTTGCGGAAACGACGCCATTCCAGTCAAGTGGGACGTTTAGTGCTAAAAGATGCAAAAAAAAACGATTGCGAGCTAGCCGTTATGAGGGTTTTGCCTAAGACTAGGCGAAAGAGTCTCGTGATGGAGGGGACCAATTAGTTGCCGTGAGAGTTGTAAATAAACCAGCCCGATACTTTGCACTAAAATGCCCCATCGCAGTGGAACAGAGCCAAACGGTACAGCAAAAGAGTGTGTAGCTTGTCACCAAAAATATAATTAAAGCAATAAGTAGGCCAAATTTCAGATGAAAATGAAGGAAAATCTATGTGTTCGGCTACCAAGACCAATTCCATTGAAAAATTGGTACGATAAAAATGACGGCCATCAGCTGGAGGGGCTATTCGGAGCTATCTGCCTAGGCAACAATGGTGAGCCGAACAGATATTGAGGGACCTATTGAATTCTTTTCTCTTGTTAACTTTGTTGTTGACTTGCTAATCTTCAACATGAAAATGCCACAGTTAAAACGGAAAAACGGGGAATTCCTTCCGTGTCTTCAGGACTGCAGCGTTGATTAATAAGCGATGAATTTGAAAAATGGGAGTCTTCTGATTTTCATGTATTAAGGACTGTTAGCGATATCTGCAGTTTAACGACACGCTTTTCGCGCTCCCTAACGTTATTACAAGAATGATGAGTTGGACAGCGTTCAAACCCATCGCTGTACGGCGCGACGAGTCTAAAAATGTTAAAGCGCTGAAACGTGCGTGCTTACAGCGCGTCGCCGCTCGCTAAAGCGCTGAAACGTGCGTGCCTACAGCGCGTCGCCGCTCGTTAAAGCGCTGAAACGCGCGTCAACGCGTTATAGCGCCGTATTTAGACGCAGCCTTAAGAGCAAATGTCAGACCTTGAATGATAAGCTTGAAACTCGCATCTCGCGTAGGTATTTCGTTCCAACACGCCATCAGTTCAGCATCAGTGCATGATTCCTTCTAACGAAAAGATTTGAAGGATCTTTTGCGCGCACAACTAATGCTGATTTATGAGGATTGTGGTCAAACCTGGAGCATTCAGTCAACGTTTATGGAGAACAATGAATTACAGTTGACGAGCTCGTTAGTTGTTGGCTTTCGTCAGGACCTAGCTTTGCACCCGGTTGAAGCCTGTGCAAAGCAAGAAAGGAAGGTCATTCGGTGAGGACGGGTATGACGGAGAAGAGCTTAAAAAAATCTCTATTTTCTACTAAGAAACTTGCCATACTCTTTTCCGCTTATACTGACCTTTCAAACTCCAGAACAACAAAGAAGAACTCCGCTATAAAATTCACCTCTTGAACATCTATGACATATACTTCATTATACTAGGCCTTCATCCATCACCTGTACTGGGGAGCTGCCCTATAATTTTATCGTTTGTGGAAGGTCGCTACTGGTCGCATTTGTGATCAACTTCTCTTCCCTTGTGAATGAGGAGGAGTTTTTCTGTCAGTGATAAGTAATCTTGCTAGACAAATGTCTTTTCTCGTATTTCACTTTGTAAATGCGACAGCAGTCCATGTCGAAGAGAGTGGCGAGGAGATGTGAGAAGTCAGCTATAAGCTTAAAATAGTTGTGTAGTTGCATTCCTGACATACGATATCCTTGCAAATACGCGATAACATCAACTTATGCTTACTAACAGGACGAAAGATTCCGTTTTGTCATCCAAACCATATCAACATACGATTGAAACTGGTCCTCCAAGGAAGTGCCAACAAGCAAATGCTCACAAAACGCCACTCTTAATTCAGTGAAAAAAACTCGATATCTCCGGGGTCCTTGAAAATCCTCAGAAACCTTTTTACGTAGTCACACATTCCGCGACTGCAGACATGACGAGTGGCGCTCAAGTACCAATTTTGAGGTTCTAGGCCGGTTAAGAGCTTTTGATGGTCTCTTTGCGGCTACAAATTGTTAACACTAGGGTTCGGCTACCATTTTTGGAAAACAGTTGACCGATCACTTAAAAAGAAATAAAAAAATCCGTTCCAAGCCTACGAGACACTGGACAACCGCGAGCAAGGGAGCACGCAGGCAATGTTCCACGTTCCGAGCAGTTTCCACAAGCAGACATTCATATTATGGGTTGAACCAACTGAGGGAGGCGCGGTCACAGTTCACGCACAAGCCCCGTCTCTTCAGCTCTCGTTTTAACCATAAGCACGCTTTTTTAAGTGGCAAGGTGCACCTGTAGCCCTTGCGGACGTTCTCATCGTATACGCGGATCGGATCCCATCTACGGTAATTGCGAAATGTGTTTTTAACATTTGTAATTTGTGTGAAGCTTAGGAGTACGGTATTTGGCCACGATACATGGTAGATGATGGGAACTCACCTGATAGTTGAAATTTCGTTGACGCTGTACCGCTGCGGCAATATCGTAACCACATGTTGACTTGTAGGTTACGTTGGACGCGGAAGAAGCGAGGAAGTCGTACGGTTCCGGGCTACAGTAGGTATCCCAGGCGCGAACTGACGACTCGTACCTTTAATGACAACTACTAAAACTGCGAATAATGAACAAGGAGCAAATACACTTCGTATCCCTGAGACGCGGTAGGCGATCTTCAATTGAACATTGTGTGGAATAATTTATTCCTAGGATGGGTCACACTGACGGTTACACCGTACCGTATCCCTGGGACTTGGAGAATATAGCTGGTGAGACAAGTAACGTTTCGTCTTATGATGAACAAAAACATGATTGCAGTTGTCTAAAAATAAAAATCTGCCGCCGCGTCTTATGATGAACAAAAACATGATTGCAGTTGTCTAAAATAAAAATCTGCCGCCAGAAACGCACCCAAATGGAGTACGTGGCCACTCCCACCGTATCCTTGGGGCTTGGAGAATATAGCTCAAATTAAACCATAAGGTGAGAGGAGGGAGCTGTAATGTGGTCAGCTGCTTAAGTCTGTCTTGCATGCAGGTGATGTCACTTTCTCTTTTCTTACAAAAGTACGACCAAAAAAAACATTTCACCTCTGATAGGGATTAACTACGAAATGGAAATGGCGCAATATGAGCTCGAAAACGACGTAAAAAAATAAATTGCTCGGATAGGTTATGCTCCCCATTGTTGAGCTTTGATGTGGCCCTCAACGAGGTTTTTTACCTTGCTCTAGATCGATATAATTACCATGCAGTAATAGTTGAATCAATTGGCGAGAAAGGGCACTGACGCGGTGACCACCACTACATCATGTAAAGGATGACGGATCAAGTCTTCGCCATTCATCAATCTTCTTGGGGATGCATTCTACTTCCCTCACTGTCCCCGGAGGGTAGAAGGCTTGGTTGGCCTTTGAGGGAGTCGACCCACGATTTGGACAGAGAACCGCGCGATTGGTAAACGCGCCACTGGTTGCACACCAAATCCGCCTACTGTATCACAGAGCACCGTCCTGAGTCAGCAGTCGGTAACAAGGCATCCCTTGGGGAGGGGGGGGGGGGTCGTGATGACGTGGCCATTTTCCTCAGCGACAGGAAGTGCCCTGGTCCTGACGCACTGAGAAATTAATCTAATTCACTACATTATATGTTCGTGACAATATTTCGAGATCCCATTTTTGAGATGCGGCAGGCATTATTCTTTTATTCAGATTCGTAGTGGATTATTGAATGAGATGTGGCCTATATATACAATGACTTGCACGGGCTAACAGATGTACGATTCAGTCTATTTGTCCTTCCACACAGATCTAGCATCAGTTTACCGGCTCCTCCAGTTAGAGGGCTTTGTCCTGAGTTGTGGATATGTTTCCCTAGGAAAGTTCTAGAAACGTCTTTGAAGACGAATGCTAAGTTATGAGCAAAAGAATCGTGTCTCTAGGCAGGACTCCATCCTGCACTTGATGCTTATGGGATGGGCAAAACAAGAGCTAATCCTGACTACTGGATAGAATAGCTATGAAGGAGTCTCGCATAATTAAAATCTGGAGCGTTCGAGTAAAGAAACGAAAGCTGAGCAGAGGCTCATCAAGCTCTTCGAGATCAACTTTGGGGATCATGGCCACCACCCAGGGGACCATGAATGGCCAGCTCAAGTGGTCCGTCAAAACTGTGGTTAGTGAAGTCAGTTCGAAGCAATCGGTGTTAGGAAAAAATTCGTTAAATGTTGTGAAAACCTACCGTTTTTGTATTTCATCCGATGACAAGAGTTTGTGATCGATGACCTTCCCGCAGAGTTTTTCGCAATCCTGAAAGAAGTACTCATCAATCAGAACCAGGTATCAAGTTTAACAGTATGAATCATTAGTAAGAACCATCCCACCCTGTATTCAATCAATTTATTTGCTTTTCTTACTTCCCATTCACTCTGACTTGTGTTCGAAACACTTCAAGAACGACAATTATCTGTGGGGAACATACTGGACAAACGTGGTGCATAGGCGCTCGGGACTTAGGTAAAAATGTGAACTTCTCGAGCGAACTGTCCCCCTCCTCTCAAAGGTGGTTCACTCCCCAGCAATTTTTGTTCTCTTTATTCAGAGCGGTTGTTGTTAGTATCGTCTTTCGAAGACATATGGCACGATAATTTGGTATTCGGTCTAAAATGCTAGCAGTTTGCTATATAGTGGGGAAAATGGCGAAAAAACGAAGTGAAACGGTCAAAACCTGCGAAGAAAGCCTTCGTTCTTAATGACTCAAAAATCAATTTCGGACGAGTTTTTCGTAGGCATTTTGCCAATAAACGGTATGTTGCGCTTGATAAGACCTTATAGGGGTAGCTCCTTTGGGAGAGACTGCTCAGGGACGCCGAATTCCGTTCCGCCAGGCATATCAACCCCACTCGTGTCAAAGATTTATCGGGTCCAACTGCCCTTTACCTATTTTTATTTTACACATTTTACGTCTAAAGCTCATTATTTTGCTCGCGGAAGAGAAAGAACACTCCCCCCGATGGGACATGAGCAATTAAATTGATTTGTTATTCTGCTTCTTACGCACAACCCCAAGATGCAAACCCTTTAAAACAAACATTCTGCAGTACAGGCAGCAATGCGTTCATTCCCTCCACATGGCATACAGCTGGAACATTCAGAGCTAGAACAGCTGATTCATGTAGATTAAGTTGACCTATTGACTTTGGATGGTCGAAGCCGCATCACTTCTGCTGATGCTAGTCGGATGAGCCTATCGACGACGGACACGAGTTTTTTTTAGAAAAGCATCCGAGAAGTGAGCGGCACGTAGGTATGTTAGGGTTGAAAACGCCAATTCGCGAAAAGAAAGTTTGGCGCGTGATAGGTACTGGGTAGCGGCGTTGTTCGCCTTTCCGGCCGCTACAGGCTCATCAAAGGCTGCAACATGCCGACCCAGACCGCCAACCGTAACCGCCCCCCCCCCCTTAAAAACATCGGCTGATACTCTTCACTTACCAGTTACCATCGAAGCATAAGCGGCTGCAGGGCTACATGGATATATGAATGTACACATGCAGCCATACCTACCGGGACGGTTGTTGCTCGATGCCCATGGTAAGCTCGGTCGAAACTGGTATTTGTTAGCCGTATACTCGTCCAGCATCATGCAGAACCAAGACGTTTCGCAGATTCTTGACTGTTTCCAGCACTTTTTCGTCATTTCCCAGTGGATAGCACCCTTCCCCCTCAGATCGATTACCAAATTATCGTGCCTTATGCCTTCAATTCAATACACATGTATGCATATATATTTATCCTTTTTATTATTTATTATTGATTTATTATTGCACATATTATTTTTTCCCATTCAAGGTACTCATTGTGCAGTAGTGGTATGTCCGTAATACGGAACCAATTCATCGCGAGGTAACGAAGCATTTCTTCGTAGGCTTGGGCAAGAACTCTCGTCTCCATTGGCGCAATGTCGACTTCACACGAGCAATCCTGTGAATGTCCAGTTGAATGCCCTCCACTTGGGTTTTTGCCTAACAATTCTGGAAAATCAATCCAGTGAAATGAGCTATGGCGATGACGAATTAAGAGGATTGGCGGAGCACGTAGCACTCATATTTCAGAGCGTCATCTGCTTTGTGCTAAA